TGAATCCTGACCGCGAATTCTTCTTCTGGTGCATTTGTCTCTTGCTTAAACTGAGAAAAAAAACTTGTAGTATTAAGACAATTACGTAAAGATTTTTTTTCAATTCATGGAAAACAACAAAAAATACAGGAAACGCTTAGGAAAGAGATGGCTGGGTAGCTAATAACTCGGAATGCTGAGCTGGCACGGTTGAGATTCTGGATTTAAACCTGGCTATCAATCGGCCACGATTAAAAAGGGTGCTCTGTTGTGGTGAGTTTATGGGCCACACAAAAGAAAACCTCCACGAAATTAAATGAGATTTTCACTTGCGTTGGCTTTAATTCCAATGATCATATTAACGTTTGTTTCGACTTCCTTTGCTACACAAATGTCTCGCTGTAGAGCTGAGAGGAATTGTGTGTGGATAAAAGGAAAAAGGTCACCCGAAGTGATTTTCGGAAGAAGGTTATTTGGAGTGTGAATGTTCTCCCTTAATTGCATGGATTTTTCTCTGGGTCCCACGGTTTTTCTTCTCACATTTATAAACGTGCGTTCAGAGTATTTGGCTGCTATAAAATGTCCACTTGATTGGACACTTCATTGAGCTATCACTTGAGGCCAGGTCGCTTCTGAAAAAGAGCTATATAACTCAGCGGGCCTTGTTAATAGTTTTTTTACCCTTTCATCTGGCAACAAAACTGACACCTTTTTTTTTACAAGGAGTCATGTTTGCATAGACCACAATACCTGCAGTCATAATGCAAACAAAAAACATAACTCTGATAATGTATGCACTGTCCTTGAAGTTGATTGGTCCACACCTGAGACAGCTTTCCTTAGAGCCTAGTCTCACATGGTGTTGGACCATATGACGCCAAAAGGCGGGCCTTGCCTGGTAAAATAAAAATAAAATGTCCATGAAATGCGCTGTTTTCTCTGTCACGTGGGGTGGTGGACTGTTCCGCCGGATTCCGTTTGGGTTCTTCACCTCGGGACCGGACGACGATCGCGCACGCCACAATTGGCATCAACGTTGCAACAACAAAAAAAAGGGGGCAAGACAAATAATTTGAAATTGTCGATAATGTTTAAATGTAATTCAAGTGTATAAAGAAAGCATCTTAAATATTTTCGGAGTCGATTTAACACGTAGGCTTTTGCGACCAATATTATTAATCACCAGTGAGAATCGTCGCCCTCAATTTGTAAGTGTTGCGGGTTTGTTGTCCATCACACCGGTGTGCTTAAGTAGTAACTATTTGGCACGTTTTGTTCACGTGACAAACCTTAGGTGGGTAATACGACACATTTTACATTTTCGCGATCTAACCCAAAAAACGTTACTACGAGCGTCAAAAGTGTTAGTGATTTTCTGCTCTAATGAACATTGAAGCGGTGCTCATCTCCTGTTCACAGCCCCTGAGCCAGTGGTAGTACATCAACATTCCTCTGGAAAAGCCGAGTCAATGCATGGGACAATCACTGTGGTACTAATTTTATTGACTATGGGAGGGATGTAGAGCTGAGTCAACCCCCCAACCAGCATTTGAACCTGCAACCTTCCGATTCTGAGCCTCTCACTCTGCCCCTGGGCACACATTTGCTTCCCGACAGCAGCACTGATTTTATCGACCGTAGGGGGATGACGAGCCGAGTCAGTCTCCAACAAGGAGTTGGAACTTGCAACTTTTCGATTTGCGAGCTGCTCAGCCTACCGCCTAGCCACCTTGCCGGTTGAAACAAAGCTCCGCTAATCGTGCGCTCTGTCACGAGTGTCCGGTGCATTGGCTTCGGAGAGAAGTACGCCGCCGCGTGTGTCGTCAAACGGTCTGGCGCGCCGATTTTGAGTGGGGGGGGATGCCCATCGCCAAGCGGACTGCGAGTCCCGCGCGCAGTTGGCGAGCGCACGCCCAGCGAACTGCGCCCCCCGTTTGTCGCGTCGACGCCTTCTCGCGTGTCGTTTTTTTACGTCGCCGTGAGTGCCTACGCTCGTGACCTTTGTTGCGTCCGCCCCCCTCCGCCCCCCACCACCTCCCTGGGACCGCCGCGGCCGCTCTCGTTGATCGTTAGCGCTCGCCATCTGCTCGGCTGCCGCGCTGCCCAATATGACGGGTCTCTTTTTGCCCGTCCCACGTCGCTGGTTCTTCCTCGCTCTTCCACACTGAGCCGTTTGGTGTACTCCGGTGGGAAGCGACTCACTTGGGGAAAAAGAGGCCTTAGCGCGGCAGTGCAAAGAGAATGAACGTCTTTTTTTTTCTCTGCCAAATTTCGGGCCAAGTTTATTTTGTTTGTTATATTGTTTATGTTGCGGATACAAATGATTGTAACATCGCGCGAAATCTGGAGTGGAACAAAGCGTGGGAGCCTCCAGCTGCTGCCCATCAAGACCATTGTAAGGTGGAGCCGCAGCAATTCGTCAGCTTTCAGGCAAGGCTGTTGAGGAACCAGACCTAATTTATAACGCGTTTTGCCTTTTAAAAAATCAATTGCTTGTCTCTGCAACACTCCATTAAAATTACAAACAATATTATCAATTCAGAAATTTACGGAGCGTGTCCGTTACAAGAATTTGTACTTATTTGTTTCAAGTACATTTGCGTCGTTCATTGTTTTGAAAATTACACTGTTGTTCAACACAGTTAAGTGGGCTGGGGCAGAAGACACAATCTGAAGATATTTACCACCGATGGACAAGGTTGGTGATCGAATGGCAGCCAGAGGAGAGCCTGTGCCTGGAAGGACGACCGGGCGTGGAGATCGGTTCATGTACAGGAGTACGATGCCTTACAGCCAGCATGAGTTGGCTTGATCCAGCAGTGGATAAACCATGCCTTCAAACTTCAAACGTTGATGTTGCTACTAAAGCCACATGCTGCTTGACTGTATGTATTGTACGTCGTCAAATGGATAGCCTTTGACCAATTCACACGGAATGCAACCGATCCCTGTCTGATCTCAGGAACTAAGCAGTGAGTTTTAGACTGCATAGTGCTTAGACGAGTCAACCACCATGCATGCTCGCCTGGTATACAGGAGGTCGTGGGTTCGATCCCGACCCCTGATGGCTGCTGTAATATTTGGAGTTTTTGTGTCCTCTCTCTCCCCCCGTGGATTTCTTTGGGTCCTCCGGTTTTCCTTGTCCACATTTTTCTCAACACCCGTTTAGAGTATTTGGCTGCTATAAATTGCCACGTGATTAGCTACTCTCGTTGAGTTATTTTATGTGGCCAGGTCGCTTCTGAAAGAAGAGCTATATAGCTCAGTGGACCTTACCTGGTATAAGTAAAAAAATGGTTTAGTTTAGTATGACAGGTTTTTCTAGGCTGTGGGGATACACTGTGGGCAGTAGATCGTAGTCCAGCAATATTTATGCTGCCACGTACACGATCAACGCCTTCACCAGGCCGTGCACTGCCCGGCGTCGTGGGTGCACGGTAAAATAACCCGCCTAGATCCCGCACAGCGGAATGGGGGGGGAGGGCCCTTCTAGTGCAGCGAATATACAAAAAACAGCCGTGCGTGTGTAACGAGTTGTACGAGCTCAGGGACAGGAGACGTCCTGAATTCACCTTCGCTGTCCGGCCACGCTAGTGAGGCATCGCTTCCCCTTCTTGTGTGACTCTGCAAAGATAACCCTTGCGAAGCGAAGCCGCCTCGACGCCATGCCCGGCGAGCGGTTTGAAGGCAGCGTCACGGATTCACAGCCTGCTCTTCCGAGGAGGGGGAGTGGGGGGGTCAAGTTTGTGATCCCGCGTTCGCTGGGCTTTTTGGCACTGGTTTGCCGGCAGCTCACTTACCTGAATTGGCTGTCCAGATGGCTTGCCAGTGCCTGAAAGCTGAAAATATACTCTGCCCTGCTCCCCCCCCATATCTCAAGCTTGCCACGCACACGCCGTGGTGGCTCGTTTGTTTAATCCGCACGGCTATACAACGGCATCTCGGTCTAACGGGTGCTTGGGGGTTTTGTGGGATTTGTTTCGTTTTCCATACGAGCAGCCCCCCAGCGTGGTGTTGAGAGTACAGGCAGGCTGTTAGACACACTGGTATTTTGTTAGGAGGGCACGGTACACAGAGCACTGTGCATTTAACCCGTGTGTTCTTCAAGCTAAGCGGCACATGCTTTTTGGTTTTCTTGCGAGCTTTGCGTGAATGTTGATTTTTTTCTTTTGCCAACGGAATCGCGTGTGGCGTGCAAGTTGAGCCCTCGTTTTTTTTCCCCCGTCGACTGCTGGACGAGGGCCACCCCCCCACCCCCCCCGCTTTCACACTGTGTGGGTCATAGGGGTTGTTTGACCACGCTGCTGAGTGTGGATTAGTGAGAATGGATGCATAGACATTGGAGCGTAGTATTGTACAACAATACAATTACCTACACTTTGCCCTCTCCTGCCCACCAGACAACCATGCAGTATTTTACAGGTGAACTGCTTCATGCATGGTAGTTGCCAATCCAAGCAATATTCAGGCTCAAACCCTGCTTTGCTTGTGAGATCTGATATAGGCCACATTCTTGGTGATCTGGGAATAGGCCACATGTTTTAACAAGGATGACTTAATAAGTGTATGGATGTCAATACTGCTATTCATAATTTAAACAACTCTACATTAAATTTCGATTTAAAGCTTTCGTGACTGCAGGGATTCATATTCTTGGTTCTTTCAGTAAAGAACCAATAATATAACTATACATTAAATTATGAATGAGAAAAAAAAATTCGAATGAAAAGCCCGCTGATTAGAAAATTCAGGTTTTTATAAAACCATAATTGGAAATTGGTAGGCATCTCGCCTGAATAGTTGGAGGAGTGGGTTTGAGGAGGGAGGCAGAGAATTGACAATGTTTGCCCCCTACCGAGTCTGGGTGATGTGGGGAGACAGAGGCAACTCGGAATTTTTGCCGACCACAGCGCTCTGTCACGTGCCTTGCCAATCTAAAGACACTCACCGGTGTATACGATCACTGCTGTTCCGTTATACTTACCTCGGCCATCGCTGTCTTCATGTCTTGCGTGTTGCAGCATCAGGTACTGGGCGCGGAGGATCGAGAACGAACTGGACCGGGTGCTGCAGCTTGCCAGTGGCGTGGACCAGCTGAAACAGGTGCCAGGCCAGCTCCAATAACACCACCACCACCACCACCTCCGCGGTGGTCCCACGCTGCTTGTGCACAGCTGTTGTCTGCAACAGGGGTGGCCAAAGCGCAGCTTGAAAATCAAATGCATCTCCGAGGCAGTTCAGGCATTGCTCAATAGGGGTGCGGGTAAATTGTAACTTTTTGAAATCTAGATTGTAACTTTTTCGTTTTAACTTCATTCTTTGCAATGGGCAACAATCTGCGAAAGCGTGAGCGATATGGGGGGGGGGGGGCAGGGGGGTGGTGCAGGGGGGGGGGGGTACTCACCCCTGGAAGCAGAGCCAGACGTGAGTGCTCCCGCAGATTTCTAAATCCAAACCTTGGTGGCCAACTAGCACAAGCGAACCCGCCGTATCACTATCCCACGTGAGCACATCATGTGACCCGGCCATACGAAGATATTGGCGTAAAGGCTCATGGTGTCAGAAAATGTATCCAACCTTGGTCTTTGACACCAGACAGATCGTTAACATTTGTTTAATCGGCTATGCCATGCTGATGACACTCGTGGAAGCCGAAACCGGTCCATGGTTTGTTTTCATGAAACAAATGTTGCTGGACAATGTTGGTTTTGAAGTTTTGTAAACTCTACTAAATCGGAACTTAACGGGTGTTACCTCTTCATGTGTGGGTTGTTTGTCGGGTGCTCCAAAGGCCTTCCGCACACAAATTATACCTTTTTAAAAAGCAACTGACCATACATCCCTATTGGCCAAACATGAAGGATTTGCCAAACATCCTCCAAAAGGCCATCCACCGAGGAAATGGAGCAGGTGACAGCGACTCATGTGCTTGTGCTCTGTGGATTCCAAAGAACACAGGATGAGATGTTGCTATCCTTTGTGCAAGCACTTCCAAGAGTTCATGAACAGTGAGCCCTGGTGAAATTTGGGGAGCACATCGTCAGTAGTGAACCTTTGGTTCCTAGGGTGTTTCGGCCTTTCACACTATACACCCTCCCCAAAGGCGGCCAGCGACAGGGTGAACAATCCTACACTTGCGTCCCATTCCCAATTAGTCATAGGAGTTGCCTTGTTATTGATAGCCAACATCCCATGGGACTATGCATGGCAGGGGTGTCCTCCTCCCTGAGTCAAGCATTGTTGACTGCATACCTCCCGGCCCTCTCACTTTGGGGCCCAGCTGGGGTCTTTCCTCTTCATCCAGAGCCACTGACTGCTGCCTTCTGCCGCCTCCGATACAGCTCTGATTGCCGAACGCTGGCTCTGGCCCTTAATTCCCAGGTGGATTGTTACTTGGCAGGACGGCGAGAGATGGCGATGGCTTAGGCTATGGGAGGCAGTGACGATCAGCAGATCGATTGTCGCTGATGATGGTACACCATCACTGCTTTTTATTCAATCAGACTTAATTATCAGTTGTTGCTAATTTGAATTTATAAATGAACATTTCCATTAAGCAATTATGAATCACGAAAATGCACACAAGGCGCCCAGCTTCTATATATGCTCCAAGCTCGTGTGCTGTTTCATTCAGACTCTGTCGCCTCGACGGACCTGGTTTTCACCTGAGGACGGCTGCTTGCGTTGTGGCCGAAACGTCGTGAGAATAATTTTATAATGTTTTATTTGTATTATTTTATTACTTCCCTTCTACGTGACTTTACCGAAAGAACCAAGAAGAAAAATGCACATCACCGTTTTGTCGTCCATCATTCGATGTCATTTTGAGAGATGGTTGCCTCTTACCACAAAAGGGCATGTGCTTTCCGTCATTCTCTGACACACTTCAAAGGCACTCGAGGTGTTTTCTTGTGAAAGCTCATTTGCCTCGAGCTGATGTAGTCCGCCGTGTTGCTGTAGTCCCACCACACGAGTCACTGAGGAGAATAAAACATCCCGTGTTAAAACCACAAAGTTGTTCCACCGCATGCCCTGTGCCTGGGCATTATCCCGAAGTGATTAGTGAATAAGTTTCCAATGCATCGTATGCAATGCATGTGCACGGCCGAACAAAAGACTGGGTGGGGGGTCTATGATTTATATCATTAATTCATAACTTTGGTGAATACCAACGCCGGTTTACTCCGTTCCTTTGTGCTCATTTTAAGAGTTGTGGTCACAGAGGTCATGGCGCTGAGCAAGCACCGCTGAGATCCGGCATTGACATCCAGGTTTCAACCGCCTGTCATTAAATCGGATTTGCAAGTGTAGTGAGTTGCTGCTCTCATCTTGGTCACCCAATGGTTGCAAAAAAAAGCTCTCATCAGCAAGTTGAATTTGGTTCCACGCTTAATTTGGCTACATCGTTAAACCAGCACTGAAGATGATACAAATAGATTTTTTTGACCGATTCACGTGCTGCCCACTATGATGAGATGCACCTCTGTGGGCCGGTCTGTAAACACGAAGGGTTGCACCGCTTGCCACAGATCGAAATGGATACTTAATCTCATTAAAATGTTATCCCAGCTCATGCCACAGCTGGGGTAAAATTCACGAAAAAAAACCCCGAATTTTTCCTGGGTAACAAGCATAGTAATAAATAATAAGGAGCAAATGTTATTTTTAAATCCTTTATATTAAGTTCACTTGCTTGCGTGCTTGCTTGCTTGCTTACGACCGTGCAAATCTTTCGGTCGTTTTTTAACCCACTTCCCGTGATCCAATCGAGTTGACATTTTGCACACAGACTCGTTGTGCGTGACGATTAATTTTCGTGAAATTTTTTTCCAAAATTTTCCACTTTTTAGGAAAAAAAATTTCATATTTAATTTAAAATACCAATGTGATAAAAATGAAACTCTTACTCAAGAAAAACATAAATGAATAATAAAATAAAACTGATGCCACGCATATAAAGGATTTATAGTTAAAAACTTTGTTTTTACGGGTTAATTTTTTAAAATTGTGGTCACAGTGAGCCCATCTTGGAGGAGTCATCCACGAACTACGGAGCCCTCCGAGTGGCGAAGAGATGAGGGAAGGCCACCAAACCCGCTGATTGTGCCGTGTAATGACTTGTTTAAATATTGAGTTGCACGCGCTTCCCTAATCCGTTATGACAGAGGCCTGTTTTAGAGAGAGCTCTCAGCCAGCGCTCGCACACAACCGCGTACGATGCACCGTCGCGAGGCAACTCGCATACTTGTGCGAGGAGAGGGAGCATGGGCAACCCTTTAAACATTCATGGGGTGAAGTTGCACATGCCTTAGCTGCCTGTCGGAGGTCTATAGAGAGCGGTAGTGCAGTGGTTTGCGCGCTGCGATGTGAACCCGGTGGCCCGAGTTCGATTCCCGCTCAAGGGCAACGCCAGTGACTATTATCTGAACTGACGCCGGTCTTCCCCTAGGTCAGCTCAGCCACAAACGTGCATCTGGTGTGGTGTGTAATCATGAACACTTGGGAGACAACATCTGCTGGGAGTGGTGCTGGCCACCAACCCCCTTGTATGCCGTGCTGGCCTTCATAAGTGCTCGCTAACATCACTTGTCCCAACAGTCTGTCAAGGCTGTACGGGTGATCTTTGCCTTTTGTTGGAGAGATATGCTTGGCTATAGAGCCACGTGTATGCACTGTAAAATGGATTTAGATTTGATCCAAAAAGTTGTACCGGTCAATTATCATCGATTTATATCTAGGAAAGTCTCACGGAGTCGCAAACACTCTTTCAGGAGGTGCCTGCATTGGGATGTTTGGCTAATTCCTTGCGAATTATTTTTTTCAAGACAATCATAGCTTGAATTTCAATTGTCGTGGACTCATTCAGGAAAAAACCTTGCTCAATCCCAAGACACTGTTATTCAGGGAGAATCCTGCATTGCAGTTTTTGGCCCATTCCTATGCGATTAAGTTTGTAACATCATCGAATAGTGAAGGGTCTATGGCAATTCTGATTAGTGGAAGAGGTGAGGTGTTGAGTCATCCATTTCTTTTGTGTTGGTAGACCAAGTCAGCCGGTAGTAGGTGTTGAATCTACTTGGTATGCTGTCATAATTGTAGCCGGACAAGCCCCGCCCACCCCGTGATTATAAATATTATTGTTTAATTAATTGTTGGGAAAGGAAAGCTCAAGAAAGTTCAGTGAACTGAAATCAACGGTTCGTTCAACTCCCACAAGACGATTGTTCACTGGGGCTGCTGGTAATCAGGGAAGTCCTGTGGGCTTCATTGTTATCATCGTCTATTATTGTTCAAAAATAATCACAACCGCATATGCGCACTGCCTCTCTAGATGTTTTTCGTTTCTCAGTCCGCTTGTCCTGGTGAGGGTCGTGGCGGCAGCGGGTTCAGTAGGGTGGTCCAGACCTCCCTTTCCCTGGTGACGGACTCCAGCACTACATTACTGTACACGACACTATACACTACACTATACACTACACTATACACTACACTATACATTACTATACACTACACTATACATTACTATACACTATACACTCCTATACAGTACACTATACACTACTATACACTACTATACAGTACACTATACACTACTATACACTACTATACACTACACTATACATTACTATACACTATACACTCCTATACAGTACACTATACACTACTATACACTCCTATACACTACACTATACACTACTAAACACTACACTATACACTACTATACACTACACTATACACTACTAAACACTACACTATACACTACTATACACTACACTATACACTACACTACTATACACTACACTATACACTACTATACACTACACTATACACTACACTACTATACACTACACTATACATTACTATACACTATACTGTACACTCCTATACACTACACTATACATTACTATCCACTACACTATACATTACTATACACTATACACTCCTATACACTACACTATACACCACTATACACTACACTATACACTACACTATACACTAATATACACTACACTATACACTACACTATACACTAATATACACTACACTATACACTACACTATACACTACACTATGCACTACTATACACTACTATACACTACTAC